ATTTTCTAGGGAAATATGGTATTTTTACTGGACAATTAACTCCATCCATCTTTTTCCACCATAAGAGTCTGTTTGTAGAGAAGAGGATTGAAACAGGAAAAGTAGGTAAAACTTTGTGATTATTGTGGTTTTAAAACAGCAAGAGTTTTGTTTGAAGTGAAACTAATAACAGAAATTGAATTTTTTTTGATTCACATATGTTTAGCAGGCCATTTGTGCCTTCTGGCATCTCAGATCCACTGATGAGGGGTTTCCCTGGTGAATATCTTGCAGTGTCTTATGATGGATTTCATCCAGGATGTGAGATTTATTTCTTCCAGTCTGCTTTAAATATTTCTGCTAGGCTTTGTATTTCAAGGTAGAAACAGAAGTTGGGCTTCTGTTGCAACATAGTGAAATCTTAACCCAGTTAGACATACTGGCTTTAAGGGTAAATACACCACAGGGGTCCAGATTCCCAGTATTACAATTGGTATTTCATGTGTAGGTATATCATATGCTGAAGTAGGATTACAAATGTTGGCCATTGAGGCTTCGCTCCATGTAGAGTGTAAGTCTCCCTGTGATACCAGATACTTGTTAAACTGATAGAGGTGTTCGTTGTCATAGTTTTTACATGTTAAGTCTCAGGGCCTTGACTGCACTAATAAGCCTTAATGGCCTCTGACCAGCCTCAAGGCAGGGCCTCCAGCCATGCCCCTTGCCCATGGTCCCAGGAACCCCATTTCAGCTCAGCTTTGGGCCTTTAGTCCTTTTCTGAGCATAACTCTTGGCTCAGTAAAGGCTAGCTATTTCATGAGGGATGGATACAGCAATTGACTGGGAGGGCAAGAACCTCACCCACAGTACAGGCTTGGAGGTTGTGGCTAGTGGGTAGTCCCTCAATTCTGTGTGCTGGGTGGGGTCAAAAATCTACTGTGGGACCTATGAGAAACTGGACTGAAATCAGACTCCACCACCCGCTGTCTCAAAGATTGGTATGAGAAGCTGAGGTCCACTATCTCAAAGACGGCTGTGAGGAGCTGAGATGGGACTCCACCATCTCAAGGATTGGTATGGGGAATTGCTGTCCATTATCTCAAGGATTCGTGACAGACATGGAGCTGCTGGAGCAAGCCCAGAGGAGGGCCACGAGGATGATAAGAGGACTGGAGCACCTCCCGTATGAAGACAGGCTGAGAAAGTTCAGCCTGGAGAAGAGAAGGCTGCGTGGAGACCTCATAGCAGCCTTCCAGTATCTGAAGGGGGCCTGCAAGGATGCTGGGGAGGGACTCTTCATTAGGGACTCTAGTGGTAGGACAAGGGGTAATGGCTTTAAACGTAAACAGGGGAAGTTTAGGTTAGATCTAAGGAAGAAGTTCTTCACAGTGAGGGTGGTGAGGCACTGGAATGGGTTGCCCAAGGAAGTTGTGAATGCTCCAACCCTGGCGGGGTTCAAGGCCAGATTGGATAGAGCCTTGGGCGACATAGTTTAGTGTGTGGTGTCCCTGCTCATGGCAAGGGGTTTGGAACTAGATGATCTTAAGGTCCTTTCCAACCCTAACTATTCTATGATTCTATGACATGTGCAGTTGAAGAGCTCAGCGAAACTGGATGCACATGATCCATCTGGAATGTGACATTAAGAACAGAGGTTCTTCCCCCTAATGTATTATAAAAGGGGAAAAAGGTAATTGCTGTTGTGGCCATCTACTTTCAATGATGACTACAGACCCCGGGGGAACCCATCACTGAAGGTGATGCCTATGGACCCTTGGGATGTCGCTGGATCCACAGTGGTGACTATCTCGCTCTGCACTCCGAATTCTTGCTTAAGTTCTATCCTTTTTTCCAATCTGTCAGTGTCTTTTTTACAGTAATTTTCTTTTTATAATAAACAAACTGAGCAATTGTGGTACTGATTTTATTTGTGTCTTAATTTCACTCTGGGGATCACAAACAAAATATTTCCAACACTGGGTTTTATCCAGTCGAACCTTGACAGGACCAAACTGAATTTAAGTGCAGATCCATAATAGGGATAGTGTTTTATGAATTAAGTTAGGATCTCACTTAGGGGTGCATCTTCCTTTTTTGAGACACTAACTTGAGAAGTTTTAAAGCCATTTGATTGACATGGCTTTGTCATTTGAAACATAATGTGACTGTTAACATCCAACTGTACTGTTCTGCCATTTTTGAATGCAATTTGGGCTGCAAAACAACAGTAGAGTGTAATCTGGGGGATCAGTTTTAACTTTGCCTCATGTATTAAAAAAAAAAAAACAACCCACTGAGTTCAGTAGTTTTCAGTGGAAAGTGAAGTGGACACCCTGGCCTTGTAGTCATAACTGTAGCTAATCCCTAGTTCAATTAGAAGAAAAAAAATAGGTCTAATTCTTTATTGAAAAGCTCCACTGTCATCTCTCAACTTCTGTTATTGAAACCAAGTGGTTTTCTCAAGTAGTAGAACTAATGAACTTGAGTCACCTATGAACTTGCATTTCTGGTTGCAGGAGATCCAACTGAAGCTTTTTCCAGTGTTTGAAGTGTTGACTGACAGACAAGTTTTGTCTGACTCAGAATACTTCATCAGTGTCAAATTATGTTCTGCTAAAACACCATCTTGTACCAAAGCGCCAAATTTTTCCCTCTAACCCCCTTCCGCTCCTCCCCTCCCCCTGCAATTACATAAAGAGTCTGCTTTAAAATATCTCAATGCTTTTTTCCTTTCCCAGTTTACCTGGACATCTGTTCTTCTCTGCTCTGTCATTGCCTGTGTAAGTGTCTCGTCTCTGTCTAGCTGTGTATTCAGGTCCGGTGTGCTCTCTGCTGTTCAGGAGAAAATACTTACAAGTTACTATCCATCTAGTAAAGCAATAACACAAGCAACTTATTGCAACTACTTCTAGAACATCTTTTTTTCTTAATTTATGTTCTATTTTCACTCAGGTTTGGTTTTTTTTCTGAGGAAACAAGGTGCTAGAAAATTGCTCCAGCCCTCTGTGTTGATTGTCCTAATAAGCTTGTCAGTTTTATCAAACATATAATTATATATCAATGTATAACGTATATCAACATATAATTTCCTACACTTTTTTCTTGAATTGATGATCATGTAGAGAAGATAGTATAACTGTATTAAGTGAGTTAAACTTAAGTGTGAGTACATGTCTTATCAGATACCAGACAATTGACAATGTCATGTCCTTAAGTCCTAGTCATAGAAAAAGTTTCAGTCACAGGCAACAGTGTCCTGTCACTAGTGCCAGTGAAGGAAGAAACTATACTCAGTCATTCCTGTGTGCAAGGCTCTGTTCTTTTTCTTATGAATGTTCTGCCTGGGCTAAACATCTGTTCCCTGTATAGCATCTCTCAGCAACTGTGACCACCTTTGTTTTCCTTCCTTGCTTTTCCCTTCTATACTGTGTTTCTCAGTCAGCCTTAATTTTCTCTCACTCTTGGAACAAAGATTCTTTCTGCCTCTGGATATTTAAAGTCCCTCTTTTTCTTCCAGCAATTAAAGAATTTGGTTTCTCCACCCCAAGGTCTTACCTTCTCATTCCTCCTTCTCCCCACTGCCTGCAGGCATTTTTCTGCCCTGATCTTTTTCATCTTGGAGCGCTTTATTCTTAAGAGTGCTTTTTGCCCTCATGCGAGATTTCCCTTCTTCACTAAGGATTTTCCCTTTTTCCTTTTGCCCTGCCCTTCCTTAGGTGATACTGTATAATCCTCCTTCCCAATTCTGATAAGCCTGAAGAAGTGTTTGTTCAAACCCACCACTAGCAAAGTGGAATCTTCTTGCCCAGGAAGTACTGATGGAAAGTACTGCCAAAAGGCAAGATGGAGAAGTTGCCTTACCTGAATGGGCAGTGTCCCCTCTGGCTGGCGGCAAGCCAGTGTGAGCCAAGATGGAGCCCTCGGCCTGCTCCATGGGGTCTCTTGTACTGGCTGCAGTGACACATCAAAGGGATGTTGAGCAGCTCTCAGTTTCTCCTACTTGTTCTTTCTCCCTTTTCCTTTGCTCCACCTGTCTGATTTCACCCTACTTTGCCTTCTCCTCCTTCCCCTTTCTCTTCTAGATTTGTTTAATGCCTTCACCAACCATTTTCTTCTTGCATAACTTTTTACTGAAGCATTAGTCTCTTAAATCCAATTATCTCGATAGCCTGCCTTTTTTGTTACCTTTTTTCTGCCTTTTCCCTCCTTTTATTTATTTTTACATGTACAAGCCTGGTCTCTTTGAAGAGAGAGGAAGGCTTGCAGATAAAAAACAAAAAACCCAAACCCAAACCATGTAATTTTGTCACTTTTCTTCTGGCACCTTTGCAATGCCCTTAGTGTAACTGAGGGAACTGCCCAGTCTCTTCGGATAAGGCAGGCGGGTCGGATCCTGACCGTAGCTGCCGGGCTCAGCTGTGCTCAAGTGTGCCTCTTAGCTGCGAGATCTGCTCCATTCCGCTTTCAGCACGGCAGCAAAAATTGAACAAGATTTTCTTCATCACTTTATTGGTCCGTCCGGACTCGGAGGCGATTGCTAAAGTAACAGAGATTATGAAAGATGCCAACACCGTCTTCTCTGATGACCTCTGCAATCCTTTGGCAGCCTAAGAAGGCAACATAATTTCATCTGCAGACGATCTCTATAATAAATCCACAGCAACGTCTGTGCTGCTGCCTGTAGGGCTGGCTTGGTGACTTCTGTGGGGAATTTGTAGCATCCAGCCGCTGGCATCTGCTCCTGGCGGAAGCTCAACCATTTGAAGAGACGGGGAGGGGGAAAATAATCCCAGTGAGGCTGTTTGCACATGCTGTTCTGTGCCTCCTCGCCTGGGTGTTCTGCTGAAGGATTGGGACATCTGCACAGAAGGGAGAGCGGCGGCGGTTGGAGCTCGCCCTCTGTGGAGCTGAAGTTCCTCCAGCGCTGTGGGGTTTTAGCAGCGCGCCGTGGCAGGCAGCAGTAGGAACGGGATCGCACCACCCGGAGCGTACACGGACAGACTTGATTAAATTCAAGCCTTATGGCCTCCGGCATAAACAAGATTCATCAGCCCAGGACTTGCAATGCACCTAAAGCCGCTCGCAGCAGCTCGTCGGAGGAAAGTAGTCAGGGGATGCACATGAAAATGTGCAAGAAGATTGCCCAGCTCACTAAGGTAAGTCTCGCTGTTGCAGCTTTCCCGAAGAGGTCAGGCTGCCCTGGCTGAGCAGAGCTGGCTCGGAGCTGCCTTCTGTGATGGCCCCCTTCTGAGAAGAGGGAAGGGAAACCCGTTCTCTCTACTACGCTGTTGCTGAAAACATCGGTGTGCATAAGCTTCCTTTCAAACAGTCCCCCCAGGTGCCACAGACTAACCTCAGCGGGTTGTCTTTGTGGCTGACGATCGGCGAATCGCACTCAACTGCTCTAATTAGCGTGCAACGATAGCGAGAGGGGCTCGAGTTTTGCGGGGACATAGGGTTTGTCTGTGTGCTGCTGGGGGGGGTTGATGGTATCCTCTTTTTTCCCCCTGAATTATGAAGACGGCGATTCATCTGAGTTCTGTAGGTTCTCGAGTAACACTGTTGCAAAGCTGCAGTTGAACTGTGCTACCACAGTACAATAGTGTTGTCTTATACTTAATTGTTCCTGATGTGCATAAGTAGAGATGCTTTAAATGACGTTAGTAAAAGACGAAAGTTGAAGAAGAGGCAGGACTAAATTACACAGTATATTGTACTTAAACTTTTAGTCAATGCTGAGCTACACTGCTAAATATGTAGAACATTTTCCACACTGTGTTAAGAAATAAGAGAAAACTTGTAGGAGTTGGCAGTTATCTTTTAACCTGTCTTTATGCTGTATCTTTGTCAGTGCAGTGAGAAAAACCTGTTTCCAATCATTGTTTACTAATCCAGCTTTACATATTCCGTAGCCTCATCCTAATTGATAAGGATATTTTAGCAATGAATAAACGGTGACAATGAAAAAGCACTCACTAAAAACAGAGGTCAAACAATAGGAATTCATTAAGATGTTCAATTTATAATGGCTTACTAGTAGGAACTAGTACTAGAACTAGTTCCAGTGCCATTATTCTCATCTAATTATAACTGTATGTGATAATGTACATCATGTGTATGAATACATACACAAGTGCTACCTATATTTACACATACATTTGCTTGCAATCTGGTCTAGTGGAAGGTGTCCCTGGGATTGGAACTAGATGATCCTTAAGGTCTCTTCCAATCCAGACCATTCTAGGATTCTGTATTATACTTACTGTACTATAGCGATAACTTTACCAGTGCTTTGACTGTATGTTTGTATAACAGTATTCATACACAATCTGATGGCTTTCTTTCTGTCCACAAACTACTCTTCACAGTGCATTATCATTCTGTAGTAATTGAAAGAAAACTATCCAAATAAACATCAATTTTTTAATGATTTTGAACAAAGGTATGTTTGAGCAATGAAGTCTGTAACAATTCTTCAAGGGAAGCACTTTCCATTTATTGATGACATTGCTGATTCCTCAGCTACAGTGAAATGTACATGATCAATGACTATAAACTAGGTTCAGATGTCCTGAGTTGTCCCCTTGTTTTCTGTCTGATGCTTGGTATCTTTGGCCAGTTTTGCACACTAAGTAAAATTTGTCCATAAGTATCACTCAAATAACTCTACTACCTTTTCTAATACAAAAGTAATAGTGGGGCTTTATTAATTGATACCTTATACTTCACAGTAAGTAACAAGAATTGAGTTACCAGCTCCTTCTTTCTGGGTGATCCATTTCTCAACAGCAGACTTGGAGCATATTGATGAGATCTGAGCAAAGAAACACTTGTTCAAAATTTTCAGCTCTCAGACTAAGTTAATGTTTTGTACAGACTTCTGTGCCTTTTGCTGTAAAGTGATTCTTTTTAAAGTCTCTTTAATCTCAACTAAATTTTGAGGAAAAAATATCTCACTTCTTTCTGAAAACTCTTACCTTATAAAGCTTGTCTTTGGAAAGGGAGATAAGTTCTGCTGTTTTAGTAGCAAAAAGGGGGAGGGGGGAACATGCAAAGGATCATGGCAAAATTATCACAGTGTTTTTTTTCAAACGCTTTTGCTAAATTTTTACGGTTAAAATGTGGGTGAGGTGATTACTTTTAATAGAATTTCCCCTCTGGATACTTTTCAGCCATCTGAAATAAAGATGAATTATATCTGAAGCTTAAAAAGGTACTTCTGAAAAGAGAGTAATTTTGTTTTGGAATGTGGCCCTTTGAGAACCAATTTTCTCTGCAATAACACTACACATATAAAGAACTTATGGCAGAATTGGAATTTTAATCATATGCTTTCCCTAACGATTTCTGGGTAGAGTAGTGCTTACTAACAGCAAACATCTGAGAAGCAAAATCTGAGACCAGATTTGCTAAACGTGGCATAAACTTGTTCTGATCATTTTTGGGTTAGCAACTTTGAGATCTCCTATTCAAATCACAGTTTTCTTGGCTATGTGACAGTCAGGATAATAATAATAAAATCCCTCCTGACTTTAAATTGCCTGAAGTGCTTTCCTTTCCTGTTCTAGCCTAGTATGCAATACTGCTGTCACTCTACAGCTGCAACTTCCTGCCCAGTGATGGCAGAATTCATTGATGGGGTGATAATTCTCTAATTGCTCATCCACTCCACATTGTACCGGGAGAAATGAATACAGAATGCAGAATGTTTAAATTAGGTGAAGGATACAGAGCTTCACTTGCATTCAGTTTCTTTACTTAGTAGTGGCCTCCTCCTACTCTCAAAAACAGAGGAGGGGTGTGCAAAGGCATCAACAGCAGACCCAAACTGGGTGAGGTGATAAGAGTTTCCATCGTTGCATGAAGTGTTGATTACATTGTAAGACAGGTTGGTACGAGAATCCTCATAGCTAATCAGAACACAGAGATCCTGAAAACTGCTTCCATTCTACTGCCCTGCTATTTTTACTTTTGGAAAGGTAGAATATGTTAAGTTTTCATACCTTCAGTCATGCATTTTTCCGTTCTGCACCCTTCTGGCTGTAGCAGCAAAACTGCAAACCTTTAGAAATGTTTTGTTTGCAGCACTTTTTGCCTTTTTTTGTAGGCAGTTTATCAGTATTTTTAGATGCCTGGCCCTTCCCACAAAGATTGACCTTTCCCACTGTTGACATGTAGAACATACATTGTTTTCCCCCATTGAGCTATTTCCCCCAGTGAGAAAAACCAATGAGCATATTTGTAAGCTCAGTCAGGCTCTGTTCTGCTCTGCCCCCCTCTTTCACCAAAAGTAAGGTGGCCTTTGCATTTCAGGGCAGAAGTGGCCACAGATCCTTGTTTGCCATTAGGCATTTGTCTACCCACATTTGCAATATACTAATGAAGATATGATAGGGTTTTATTACTTGCACAGTTTAGGGTTTGCTTTGATAAGTCACAGCTTATAGTGCTACATAATATGTGGGTCAACCAGCTTTTGTTTGAAATATATATGTATTATATGTATTTATATTTTAGAAAAAGGGTATATTAAAAAGTGCAAACTGAATTGTTTTGTTCCTGTGGAGACAGGTAAAAAGGTTTAAAAGCCCTGGTAAGTGATTTTGAATGAGACCTGTCTAGGCCTTCTGAATTTTGACCTTAAATCGGATAACATTACAGCTATTTCCAGATGAGCTGTGGTTTGGTATATGAACTTACAGAAATTAAACCAGAAACATTCTGCTTGTGAATGGGAATGTCCATCTGTAGTTGTCACTCACACATAAAATACAGTTAATAGACAGGTACCTTGCTGCAACAGTAGTGTTCTAATGCATTCAAGTTCATAGAGACTTGGAGTTAGTGTATTCTTACAATTGTAGCAGAATGCATGACTTTGTAACAGTGATTGAGACCTCTCCGTCAGACACTGGACCCTTGGCATGCTGTTTTGTGCCTGCCAGTTCTGTATATTTCTGATCTGTTTAGCAATTAAATGGGGTTTAAAATACATGGTGACTTTCATAAGACACTTTGGGTGTCATTCCCTGCGACCTCAAGGTACAGATTTCTATCTGTTGGCTGTTACAGGAATTCCATATGTTTATGGATTCTCAGGACAGTCCTTTTTATTGGAGGTAGGATGAGAAATGCCAATGAACTCTTGAAGAGGAGTGTTGGCGAGAGTGGATCAGCTTTCATTGAACAGGCAGTTCAGACAGGGCTGGCAGGAGCTAAATAACACTGCAGGTATTTGTACTATTCAGGTTTCTTTTCAAACCTCTGTCAGTAGAGCTCAAACCAAACCTAATGTGAATAACCAGGATGGTGGCATTGTCTGGTGATTAGAGAGCTACCTAACCCACAAAACAGTAATGTTTCCTTCTTTAAGACAAATTCCTGGGTACCAACGGAGGGATATTTTTAATGAGAGGAGATAGCTACCCTCAAACTAATTTTCCCTAGGGGTTCATCTGACTCTGTATTGGGAATTTGGGAGCTTTGTTGCAAGAAGCACATTTTAATTTGCAATATTTCTGGTCAAGTAGATTGTTAAAAAGTCAAGCAGTCTGGCAAGAGTTTTGTGTACGTATGCTGGATACTGTGAGTCAGAGGAAGAGAGTGCTAATGTAAGGAAAAGTTAATTGCTGGTAAAACATAATTATGAACCTTCTATTTCCTTCAGGGGAAAGAAAAACTGAAGGAGAGCAAGTTTGGGCAGATGTTCCTTAATGACTCTGTGTGGAGCAGTTGAAAATGTTATGTACTCCAGCTGCTTATCACCACCGGTCACCAGGAGGTTTATTGCCCCTCAGCTCAGTCAGCAGGGTAGCAAATATGAACATTATTTAACAAGCTTCAGTGGAAAATCAGCCAGATAAGCAAACCCCACTTAACAAAATCAGCCAGATAAGCAAACCTATCTGAAGGATGTCAGACTTGTGAAGAAGTGTGTGCTCACATTTAGTTCTATTAGCTTCACTCTGCAGGTGGAAACTTACAGAAGAATCAGCAAATGGCCTGGTATGTGTATGAGGGTATAGGCTTTTTACACTGCCTCAGTGTCTTGTAGCATGGCTGTATATTAATTAGATCTTTTAACCTTTCCTGTTTTATTTGCAATTAAAAAAAAGGTGGCTGACAGGTTTTGGAATGCAATATGATCAAGTTCTTA